CATTCCCGCAGCCCAGGACTCGCGCATCCCCAGGGGTTGCCTTGGGGATGCCTGTGAGGCGCGCCGCCGTCAGGGCGGCTAGGGCCTCGGGAGGAAGGTCGCCGATGGCCAGGCGCGCCAGCGTGTTGGCCACCGCCTCCGCCCCATCCTCGTCGTACTTGAGCGGGGCCCGGTGCTCGTGGCGCCCTCCTCCAGGCCCCGCCCCGCCGCGGCGGGGGGAGCGGCCAAACTGGCGCTTGAGGTGGTTGGCCGCGCGGTGTTGGAGCTCTGCCGCATCGTCGAGCTCGTGAGGTGGCGTGGCTGGCGGCATCGCCACATCGGCTCCCGCCGCTGTGGGCCCCCCCCCTGGCCCATGCGGGGCGGCCCCAGTGCCGGGGGGGTGGCCCCATTCGCCTGGGCGAGGCGCCGCAGGCTGCTGGGTGGTGCTGAACTTCCTCACCACCGCCGCTGCATCCGCCATGTCACCCTGGGGCCACACTGCCGCTGCCGCCCGAGACATCTCGCCAGCTCGTGCGAGCTCGGTGACACGGCGCACACGGGCCGCGACGTGTTCCTCGCGGCCCTTCGCGGTGACCGCGGTGCGCGTCTGGTCCTCCATGGGGAGCCAGGCGACATCCCATTGGCCGTCCTGAATCCACTGCAAACGCTCCTGGAGACGCTCACGCCGTGTCGTCGGAGTCGGGGTCGCATTGTCGCTGAACAGCAGCCCATCCGACGATGGGAAAACCTTCCACAGCCGCGTCAACGTGCGCGACGCCTGATCATCGTTGCCCTGGCGGGCCTGCTCGATCGCCAAGCGCAGCCGCACCTTCACGTGGCTGACGACGGCCGCCATGCTGTCGGGGATCATGGCCGTGGTGGGCGCGCCCTGCAGCAGGATGCGGGCCCGCCCGATGGCGCCCCACCAATCCAGATTGACAAAGCCAACCTCGTGGTGCGCGTCCTCGTCCGTCACCTGATCGCCCAGGTCGTCGTCGTAGATGCCTGCTTCAAGTCCCCCGTCATCGTCCGCGTCCGCAGGGGCGTTGATTGGCGGCTGCAAGATGTCCGCCGTGGACGGTGCCACTGCCTCGGCTGCCGCAGGGGGGGTCCCTCGTGAGCCTGGGCCATGCGCCCCTGGCGCGGCGGCGGCAGGGAGCCTCGGGGCGGCCCCGGTGCTCCCTGCCGCGCCATCTCCCTGGGAGGGAGGAGTGGGCGCCTGGCCTTCAACCGTTTCCAGCAGGGGCAAGATGGGACCACCTCGGGCCCCCAGGGCTGCCGTGAGGCGTCCCCTGTCGCCCTCGGGGAGCTGCGTGAAGCCTACCATCGCCGTCGCTGGTGGTAGGGGGCCATCGACGCAGGCCATGTGGAGCCACTTCTTGCCCGCGTGAGCCTGGGGGCCCACGGGGCGCGTCACGGCGCCTGCCACGCGCCATTCGCCCGCCTCGAAACCTCTCATGCAGCGGGTGCAGTGGGCCTTCTTGCCGCGAGCCGCCTGGGCGCTGACGCACCAGCGAATGATCCGTCCTCCCGTCATGCGGCGCCGCCGCTGTGCCGGTTGGCCCTCGCTGGCCCGCATGTGGACGTCGATGCTGCCGTCCACTGGGATGTCTACGGCGTTCGCGTCGGCTGGTGCGCGAGCGGCAGCGGGGGCGCACGGGGCGGCCCCGGCACCTCCGCTGCCTACCGCGGCTGCCAGCGCACCGCCTTCACCTCGGGCCGCCGCGGCGTTACTCCCAGCCACTCGAGCCCCTGCACCTGCGTCCGCGGCGCCGCCAGCGGCCGCCGCCATCCCAGGACGTCCCTTCAGAGCAAGGAAGAGTGCGCGTAACGGTGAGGGCGCGAGAAAAGGAAAGGTGGCTGTCACCCGCGGTTTGAAGGCAGCAGTAGCCCCCACGCCCACAGGCTCCCCAGAGCCTTGGGGGGACCACTACTACTACTACTACTACTACTACTACTACTACTACTACTACTACTACTACTACTACTACTACTACTACTACTACTACTACTACTACTACTACTTACTACTACTACTACTACTACTACTACTACTACTACTACTACTACTACTACTACTACTACTACTACTACTACTACTACTACTACTACTACTACTACTAGTAGTAGTACTAGTAGTAGTAGTAGTAGTACTACTACTACTACTGCTACTACTGCTACTGCTACTGCTACTGCTACTGCTACTGCTACTACTACTACTACTACTACTACTACTACTACTACTACTACTACTACTACTACTACTACTAGTATTACCGCTACTGCTACACTTGCGACGATGAGGAGAAGGAGGAGGACGGCGTTCACCGTTACTACTAATATTGCTCTCCTCGGGGCTTCAACTCCTCGGGGCTCCTCTGGGATAATTTTCAAGTTCAGCTTGGGAGGGAGCCTGTTGAGTATCGGGTGGCGTGTTGGAGACGGAGGGTGTTGACTACTGGATGGTGTGCTGGAGACGGAAGGAATTGAGTATAATATCATTTTCAAGTTCAGCTTGGGGAGGGAGCCGGTTGAGTATCTGGTGGTGTGTTGGAGACGGAGGGAGTTTAGTAGGTTATTTTCAAGCTCAGCTTGGGGAGAGAGCTCGTTGCTCCCCTGCCGCCTCCCCCCCCCCAGCACCTGTCTCTGTGCCTCCCGAATCAAGACAGAACGCGCGCGTGCACCGTGTTTGGCGCAACCGATGCACGGAAACGCTGTGTATGTATGTTTTTTTTTGGGGGGGGGGGGGTTGGTCTGCGAAACCACGAAAGATTGTTTTTTTTTTTTTTGGGGGGGGGGGTTTGCAAGCCCCCGTGCCCGCCGCGGCCTCCCTCCCAGCACCCCTCTCTCTGCCTCTCAAAACAAAAAAACAAAACAAACCAAAAATACACAGTGTTTCGTGGCTTCGTAGACCAAACAAACAAAAAAACAAAACTACACAGCGTTTCCTTGCATCGGTGGCGCCAAGCATTGCGTAGAGAGAGAGAGAGAGAGAGAGAGAGAGGCAGAGAGAGAGACAGAGAGAGAGAGAGGCAGAGAGAGAGAGAGAGAACGAGAGAGAAAGAGAGAGAGAGAGAGAGAGAGAGAGAGAAAGGGAAATAAGCAGTCGAGGATGAGGAGACGAAAAGGTATGATCTTTGGGGGGGGCGACCATCTATATATATATATATACACATATATATATACACATGCATGCATGTATGTATGCATACATGCATGCATGCATGCATGTATGCATTATATATATAGATATATGCATGTATGTATGTATGTCTGTGTGTCTGTATGCATGCATGTATGTATGTATGTGCGTATGTATGCATGAAGGTATGTATGTATGCATACATGAATGTATGCATGTAAGCATGCATGCATGTATGTATGTATGTATCTATGTATATATATGCCTGTATGTATGCATGCATGTATGTCTATGTGCATGTATGTATGTAGACATGTCGTATATATGTGTTGAAATATGTTTATATGCACATGCGTGTTTGTATATGAATATTCAGTTCGTTATGTATGCATGCTTTTTTATCTATATAAATATATGTGCACATACGTAAATACATATACCAACCCACACTAGATCCACGCGCGCGCTTCGCTTCTAGTCACAGCTGCGCCACGGCTGTCGCCGATACCACGGGCACTGTCGCGATCGCCATCACCGCAATGGCTACGATCGCGACCACCGCCGCTGCCATCGCCATTTGTACACTGTAACTGTACATGAACGTCTCGAATGGTCTTCGGTTCGTTCCGCTTCCGTGCCGGGGGTTGCGGGTCAAAGGCCTCATTCGTGTTCGTTGGGATGTCGTGGGTGGCTTCTCGGGTGCCACTTGGAGGCAGTATTGAGGCCTCTTGGGGAGGTCGATTTGAAGCCTCTTCGGGCTCCTTTTGGGTCTCAGTGGGGGCCTCTTGGGGCACCTTGGGGGCCTCTTGGGCTTCCTGGGGGCCTCTTGAGCGGGATGTTCGATCCGTCTTCGCCCTCTTGGGGCCGTCTTGGGACCCTCTTGGGCCTTCTCGGGCGCCTCTTGAGCCGTCTTGGGTCTCCAGGCGCCGTCGCACTCGTCGTCGAACGTCGTTGCAGGTCGTCGTGTCGTCGTGCGTCGTCGTGCGTCGTCGTACGTCCTCGCATTCGAGGACGACGCGACGGCCGCGAGCCCCTGGATCGCCCACCCCCCGAGGGGGCCTTTGGTTGTCTACCCCCTCCCTGGAGGGGCCGACTTGGGGCTCTTCTGGGGATTCTTCGGCTTGGCGGTGTAGTCGGCAGTCGTCGAGCGTGAAGTGCACGAAACCTCTGGAACTGTCTGGAAGCTGTCGTGGATGATTCTGGAGCGCGCTTGGGCCGTCTCGGAGCTTCGTCCCTCCTCTGTGGCTCCCCTCGGGATCCTTGCGGGGTCTTCGTTGGCCGTCTTGGGGGCCTCCTGGGCAATCCATGTGCCTTCGTGGGCAGTCATGCGGCTCGGGCCGGGCGAAAGGGGGGATAGCAAAGGGGAGGTTTGAGAATCAACTCACATATCTGATTTTCCCGGCGCTTCCCGGCGCCGGAGGCGGCCATGTATCGAGGAATGGGCCCCTCGGTGGGACCGAAACCAGCTGCATGCAGCAGCAGATTTCGTAACCCCCCCTTTCCCAATCACCCCCTTTCGTCTGGCCCGAGCGGCCCTCTTGGCAGCCTCTCGGGGCCCCCCTGTGAGGCCTTGGGGGCCTTTGGTGCTGCCTTGGGCGTTCGCGAGGAAGGAGGCGAGAGAGGGCACACACACGAACACGCGATGACTAGGGGGCTCAGGGGCATACGATTAGATGGACCAGGGTTTCTCACATTTTCAAGGTTTTCTTCTCCCCCCCTTTTCATCCGTTCCCATATTTCCATGAGGATCGACGATGAATTTTGTCTGTGTGCTTCTTCCCCTCCTGAGATGAGGTGCTCAACGGAGGAGAACAAGGGGAACGACGAGGAAGAACGAGGGGCTCGGCGGAGCCGGGCGCAGCGCAGCTTCGCAGTGGCCTCACGCCTCCTGCCTCTCCTTCTTGCCGCCCTTGATCTTCATGAGCTCCATCTGGAAGATGAGCGCGGCGCCCCCAGGGATCTTGGCTCCGGCGCCCCGGTCGCCGTACGCGAGGTCCGAGGGAATGTACATCTCCCACTTGTCACCCTCAACCATCAGCTGCATCGCCTCTGTCCAACCCTTGATCACCTGCTTGGGTGCGAAGGTAGTGGGCTGACCTGGACGGGGTCAGAGAGACACCATCAATACAAATTGCTTGCTTGCTATGCGCTCCTTTTCCTCGAGATCGGCTCTGGGAACCCTCCCCTGGAGCGCGTTCTGACCAGGATCTCGAGGCAAATCTAGCCGTGGCGAAGGACTCCTAAAATGAGAAACATGTACAGATGCTACCAACACTCTGAGCATAGGTGGTTTAAAGAGATCCGCCACCGTGCCGACACGGAGTGGGCGTGTTAGGATGCGCGTCTGTTGTCGGGAAGGTTCTTTAGTCTTCTAGGACCCTCCCCCTCCCGCGCGCGTGGTTCGAAACGTCGCCCCCTCTGAAATTGCTTTCGGCGGTCTTTTCGTCCTCCAGATGGCCGAGATGGCCTCCAAGACGGCTTCCAAGGCAGCCACGACGACAACAGGACAGCTCAAGATGGCCCAATGTAACTTAAGCGCCTCTCCAGACGGCCCAAGAGGCCGCCACAAGCTACAAGAGGCCTTCCTCGACACCGCGAGGGGAGCAACACCATTGATCTTCCGCTGCTCTTTGAAAGATCCTGAGGTTCTCGCCTGCTCGGGTGTCCCAAGAGGTCTCCTAGAGGTCTCCAACATCGCTCCAAGACGGCCGAAGAGGCCCCCAAGAGGGCCCCGAGACGGCTCTGAGGCGCCCTAAGAGAGCAACAGGACGGCCCAAAGAGGCCCCTTAGGCTGCTCTGGACGGTCGCGAACCCAAGCGCGCCAGAGCCTGAACATCCGTCAACACTTTTGATTCGCGGGTCGAGAGCGCACCTCTTCCGGTCGAAGCTAAGCGGGCCGCGCAGAGCTTGAATTACGCAGAGAGGGGGGAGGAGAAGGGGGGCGCAACCTCAGAACGAAGCCTGGAGGAGGCAAAGCCTCGGAACAACATCCGTCAACACGCCTGAGGATCATCAATGGCTTCGGCCTCTCGGGCTCTCCTGGAGGGCCCCTTGGAGATCTCTTGAGCCGTCTCGGGGGCCTCTCGATCTGTCTTGATGCCTTTCTTGGGGGACTCATGGCCTCCAGGACGGCTTTTCAGGCAGCCAAGATAACACCAAGATGGCCGAAGACGGCTCAAGGGGCTCCCAAGACAGCCTCAAGACAGTTCAAGACACCCTTACGACGGCCCAAGAGGGCTCCAGGAGGCCCTCCGGGAGAGCCCGATGAGGCCAAAACTATTGATTTCCCTTTGGTTTTTGGAGGGTTTCACATTCTCGCCTGTTCGGGTTTCCGACCGCCCAAAACGGTCCAAGAAGCCTCCAATACAGCTGCAAGACAGCCCAAGAGACCCCAAAGTAGGCCTCGAGTCGGCTCAAACGGGTCTAACGATCGCCCAAGGGGCTCCAAAGAGGGCCCCGAGACGGCCGTGAACCGCTCCAAGAAGGCACCTAGAGAGGCCCCAGGAGGCCCCCCAGAGGCCCCATGCATGAGGCCCCCATGCGGCCCCCATGCGGCCCCCAAGAAGGCTTTCAAGGGCTCTCGAAGCCCCCAGGAGGCCCCAATACGGCTCCTGGAAGCCTGCTCCTCTTCACCCTCTTTTCTCCCTCTCTTCCTCATCCGCCTCCTCCTTCCTCCTCCTCCTCCTCCTCCTCCTCCCACTAACGGGGTTAAGGCGCCCCAGAGCCACATTACTTCAAGTCCTCCTCCTCCTCCTCCTCCTCCTTCTCCTCCTCCTCCCTACCACGCGGACGAAGACGAGGTCGGGATCACGAGTCGCCCCAAAGCAGACTACTCGTCGGTATTGCGCTGTTCCTGCGCTCAGCCTCCTTCCTGCTGCGCTGCTGCACAGGCACGATGGCACGATGGCGGGGTTTGCCACAGGCAGCTGTATAGTTGTTCCAACTCGATCGGTCCCCTTGTAAGCGCCTCCCTCTACCCCACGCACTCCGCCCAGCGAAGCCTCCTGGGGGCCTCGTGGAGGCCGCACGAGGTATCTTTGGGCCCACTTGGAGTTCTCTTGAGGTCCTCTTGGAGGCCTCTGGGGAGGTTTTGGTCCCCTCGCTGGCCTTTCTGGAGCCTTGTTTGGGCAATCTGCAAGCCATCTCGAGGCCTAAAGAACCCATCGGAAGCGAAATGGCGAGACGGTAAAAATCACTGAACCTACATGGGTCGTGCAATGATTTCGGCTTCCGGGGGATCCTCTTGGGGTCGTCTTGGGCCGACCTGGAAGCTTTTCTGTCGCGTCTTGTCTCGCCCTCTCTTGTCTTGTCGGGCCGTCTTGCAGTCCGTCCCACGTCCGCGCCATCCTGATGGGTGCTCCGTAGACGGAGGCCCTGGTCGATGCAAGAAAATGGCGCTCTCCTGTCATTTTCCCGCACCATCCCGCGCGAGAATGACTCTTTCCTGACCCTTCCTGCGCGCTGACAAAGCAGCCGTTACTGGGACCCGTCGCGGTGGCGTTGACCACGCTGGTCCCGTCGCCGCCCGGGACTTGATGGGGTTCGTCATCCATGTCAGGTCAGGGGAAGTCGCTTCCCTGAGTCTGGCCGATGGGGACCCGAGGTGTCGGGGGACCTTTCTGGCCCTAGATGGTCCCAGGTCGCCTAAGATGGCTCAAGAAGAGTTCCAATATGCCTCCCCTGAAACCGCCAGGAGACGACACCAAACAGCCTCGAAGCCTCCCGGGATCGGTCCCGAGAGGCTTGAATCCTGCAACAATCTAGCGTTTTTCGACATTGTGTGGCTTCTCGATTTTTCGCAGGCGATGGGCTTGATGCCTCAAGATGGCTCCAAGGTTGCTCACGAGAGCGCCAAGGGGGCCCAGAAGAGCTCCAAGACGGCCCCAGGAACACCCCACCAGCCTCCCGAGAGGGCGCCAGGAGGCGATTTCGGGGCTCCGACGGGGAGGGCTCTAATTGTGGACCGCCTTGTTTGCTCGATACACTTCAAAATGGCCCGAACGGCCCTCAGGAGGGCCCCAAGAGAGCCTGGAAGACCTCTACATTGGCCCCGAGGGGGCCCAACTGAGCTTCCAAAGAGCTCCCATCTCGAAAGATCCGCGAAGGCACTTATAGTTGACTCTGGGGTCGGCTCAGGCGGATGCCGAGGTTCAGTTTGACCGCTGACCTCCTCTTTGTTCCACTGATTGCTCCCAAACTTCCCTGATCCAGGCAACTTGCCTGAGCATCGTCTCTATGTGGGCAGGTGGGAATACTTTTTTTGGTCAGCGGGCGGACGCGTAAAACAGTCGCCAAGAGGGGGGTCCGGGGCACGGGCCAGCCTAATTAACTAGCAGGTGGGAATACGAGAAGCGTCCAGGATTCTTCCTCCCCCGCACCCTCGGCATCCACCTATCTCGTTCTCCCATGGTGACCCCTGTCGTACGAGGAGTCGAACTGCGTGCCGTCGATAAGGGTACCCTTGTAGTGGCACTCGCACGGCGAGTCGGGGAGCGGGTGGTGCTTCCCCTCGCCCACCTTGAGCACCTAGTGGGATGAGGAGGAAGAGGATGATGATGCGCCCGTCGGAGGGGGGGTGTCCTGGTTGTCACAGCAACTGAAGAGCAAACTTCTCCTGTTGTGACTTTTGACTTTACAATCCATGCTGCACACGAACTCGCCTGCCAATTTCCGTAAGATGTTGGGGTCCCGCGTCCCCGTCTGATTAAACCGGGAGGTCCAGTCAAACTGGTCCAACCAGACTGGCCCTAGCAGGAGGAACATAACGATTTCGAAGAGATACAACAACACTGGAAGGAGCAAGGGGAACCGGAAGAACGGGAACGAGATGAGGAAAGATACGGCAAGTTCGTGTCGTGACGACGTCGGCCTTGGTTCATGACACCTCGTGGATCGTTCGACCTTGAACGATCACGGCTTTCCAATTCCGTTAATCACACGATGTCGGCCGATTCCAGGCAGCTGGCGGCGGTCAACCCTGAATGCCAGCGCTGGGGTCGTCGTCGTGTCGACACGACACGAAACTACCGTACCAGATGCACCCCCGTTTGGGGCATACTGGCTATCAATCCATACCAAACAAGCCGCCAGACCGAGGGGATGAAGGTCAGCAGCGGGTATGGCTTGATGTGGCTTGCCCTCTGCAGATCATAAAGAACATGTGTGAATTCGCATCGTGCGTTCTGTGGCCAACTTCTAATACCTTGTACAGCAAACCGGACTTCAACTTGATGACGCCCTCCTCCTTGGCCTTCTCTTCGAGGAACTTCGTGCCAGCCTCGTTGGTTGCCAAGGCGTTGCCACCAAGGAATGCGATAAGCATCAACGTACGGACGCACATGGTTCAAACAATGATCTTGCTCCCGCCTATCGCGGCACACAGGGGCTGTGACAACCTGTCGGGATGCTTCGGGTGCTGCGTCTTGAGCCGTCACGGGTTTGAACAGAAAAGAAACACATCGGGACGAGGAACTGAGGCGAGAGAATGGAGGAACTGGAGGAGCAGATGAAGCATGAGGAACATTTGCAGGATGGATGAGGCAGGAGGGTAAGGAGGAAAAAAGGCAGAAGAGAGACAAGGGTGGGGATGGGACGAGGGGGATGGCGAGTGCGAGGAGGAAGGAGGAGCGAGGATGCAGGAAACTGGGAGCAGGAGGGGAGGGGGGAAGGAGGGAGAGGAGGAGGAGAGGATGAGTCAAGGTACGGCAAGAACGTTTGGGGCAGGAGGAGGAGGAGGCTTGCCGCCGCCAACATCCTCTTTCACCCAAATCTCCCGGACACCCCCGGACTCCCACGGTGCCTCCCAAACACGTCCACAACCCGCCCGAACCTCCTGGAACCATCCGAAAACATCGAGGAACATCCCTCTCTTCCTCTCCTCTCCCCTCCTCCCCTCCCCTCCCCTCCTCCCCTCCTTCTGCTTCTCTCCCTCTTCCCTTCTCTTCTCTTCTCTTCTCTCCTCTTCTCTCCTCCTCCTCCTCCTCCTCCTCCTCCTCCGCCTCCTCCTCCTCCGCCTCCTCTCCCATCATACATGACAACGCCTAATTGGCCCGCGCTGCCTTTCTATAGCGAGCGCTTCGACTGTAAGGGAGGATTGATATCTATTGATACAAACATCCAATGATGAGAATGTAATGCTCTCATGCAACTCTCGGAAAGCGACAACCTACTCCAGAGCTCCGGAGGGCTCTGCAAGTTCCCAGAGGTAGCCTCTGGTGGCCCGAGAATGATACAACTATGAAAAGAGAGAACTAGATTCTAGCCCTCTCCCTTTAGTCGTTCCTCCCCTTCTTCCTTCTCCTTCCAGCAAGATTTCCCGCCAGAGCCCGCCGAGACTCGCGCGAGGCGACGGCTCGCCTTGGTCTTGGCCATCTGCCTGAGCGCTGCGTTGGAGGACTTCATGAAATCCTCTGGCTCTACGTCTCTCGGTCTCTCAGTGCTTTCTTCTCCATTCGCGTCTACGTATGCGTCTCGCTGAATACGTGAATCGCATGTGACCGTGCCCCTCGCCGCTGGCGAAAAAGGGGCATCTCGCTGACGAGCCGATGATTCAGAGTCGCCATAATTTCGGGCTTCTTCTTGGTGTTTCCCTGATCTCGAACTTTCAATGGTGATGCGTTTCGAACTCCAAGTACTCTTCTGGGCGCGGAGATGGTACCCATGCGCGAGCGCGTGCCGTGCAGCTCGTGAGGAAGGTAGCTAGAGGTCAGGATTGCGAGGGTGAAGAAGCCTAGACGCCCACTCCTCTTGGCCCTCCTTCTCCTCTCTTCCTCCTCCACATCCTCCTCCTACTCCTCCTCCTGGCCCTCCTCCTCTCGTCTACCTGGCCCTCCCGTTCCTCCTTTCCTCCCCCTCCTCCTCCTTCTCCTCCTACTGGCCCTCCCCCTCCCCCTCCTCCGGGCACTCACACGATCAGGTCAACCATGACTACGCAACAATCTGAACACCCAATGACCCGACGATGTGTTTTGCGCCGTTCAAGAGCTCCCCACCCCTTCCCTGGGGCAATTCATCCTGGATCGTTTTTAGATGGCCCCGGAGCCCGAAAACGACCCGCAGAGGCCGAAACATTGGAAACACGCCGAAACTGGAAACATAAGCCCTTCGGATGTGTACTCGCGCCACAATGTTTCATCCTTTAGGCCCCCCCACTGACAGTCCCCCTGGGGCAATGTGGGCCTCAATAACCTTCGCGCCGCTGCCTCGGCTATGATTCCCAGTGGAAAGGTATGCATGTCACACGCGATGCTTGACTTTACGCGCGTTTTTGTATCGCAGGCGTTTGCTCTGTTCGAGAAAAACCGATCCGATTCGACTCTTTCAATGGAAAGCCAACGAGGCTGGAATAGACGAGTACGTCGGTCAAGAAACCTAATCGACAAAAATGCTCCGATGATCAAGAATCTACTGGAAATCCCTACCTGCAGGATCCAGGTGACGGAAGCAGGGTCGGAGCGAAGGGTGCGGATGCCCAAGCGAGACTATGGCGACTGCGGCGGCGACGTGTAACCAGTGAGAGGAGAGGGAGCCTCCCTCCTCCTCTTTCTTCTCCTCCCCCTTCCTCTTGCTCCCCCTCCTCATCGTCGCGGTCTGGTGTCGTCGGGCGTCGGAGAAACGCCTTCTGGGTTCTGGGGGTTGCAACGGTGGGGGTCGACCCTTGGCCCCAGACGCTTCAAATCTATGCCAGCGGAATTTTTGGTTCTAGAGGCTGTTCCTGATCCTGCTCCTGCTCCTCCTCCCCCTCCTCCTCCTGCTCCTCCTCCTCCTCCTCTTCCTCCTCCTCCTCCTCCTCCTCCTCCTCCTCCTCCTCCTCCTCCCCCTCCTCCCCTTGGGAATTCTTGTTTCTGGAAAGAGCAAAATTGCCTAGCTCTTCGGCGAAATTCCAAACACCACAATTGGCTCGTTGACACGTTTCCGTTCATGTATCAATCGGGAAATCATCGACCCCCCCGCGCATCTCATTATCGCATCACCGCCTGCTATGCGAAAACCCTGCAAACACCGAAACGAAACAGATGTGGACACATGAAAGCGTGCGCACACGCAGACAGACACACACACACACACACACGCACATCATTTCCGCTCCTTTCCCTCTCTTCTCCTGTCCCCTCATCAATGGTCGGCATTGTCGTCGTTCGTCTTGGTTGTCACCATCGTGATCTGCCGTCGTCGTCATGCCGTCGTCTTCGCCAGCGTCGCGGACGGCGGTGTCGGCGCGAAGGCCCAAACGGCCCCAGGGCGGCACGCAGGGAAAGTTCGTGGGCAACGCAGCGAAGCAGCCCAGTGGCAGCAGGGGTGAAGAGGCGGGCCGATGAGCAGGTCGGCCAGTGAGCGCGTGCGCTCCCGGGTGCTCCAAGGCGTGGTCGGGGTGCGCGCACGGCCACGTGCGCCGCGGTGATCTTTCTACCGGGGGCCGCGGCGCCGTGCCACGGGGGTGAGCGTCGCGTGCGCCGTGGTGCACTCTGCTGCGAGGGGTCGCGTCCTGTATGCCAGGGGCGGGCGCACGGCCACGTGCACCGTGGCGTGCTTTTTTCATGGGGGATCCTGGCCGTGGTGACCACGGCCATGTGCACCGTATGTTTTTTTTTTTTTTTTGTTTCTGCAAAAAGTGATCGCGGTCGTCCATGCCAAAAGTGTAGCCGGCACTACGGCGAGAGCACGATTTTCCTGAGCGCATTGTAAAGACACATCTCTGGCGAAGCGGCGATTCTGGGAAGCCAACGGCGAAAGTCTCCGCAGGCTTCGAGTCCAAACTCTGGGTATTCTGTGTGGTCCTTGTATCACCCTTGTAGAACCTCAGTTCGAACGTGCCTTGGGCAAACCTCCGGGACCCGTCCCCCCTCGGGACCCGCTTCCTTCACCGCGATGCTCCGTCGGCCTCTTCGGGCCGGCCCCGACAGGGCGGCCCCCCTCAGCGGCCGGGAGCTCCTCGTACTCCGTCTGCGAGCTGATGGAGCGGGTCATGGCCTCGTCTTCCAGCTTCTGCGAGTCGGCGATCACCTGGTCATGGGCCGTGGGGTTAGGTCGGGCGTGTCCCGCTACAGGGGGATCTTGGACGAAACATCCAGAATAGTCCAAACATATTTGAAAAATGCCCAAACAAAGTAAAATATCGTCCCCATACATTCTATATATATATATATATATATTTGAATCTTCCCCCTGTAGAGGGACAGGCCCGACTTAAGAGAAGCACGACCGAGAGCCGAGACCTTCCCAGCCCTCTGGGCTCTGGCAGGCGGCCGCTACGTCGTCGTCGTCGTCGTCGCCGTCGCCGTCGCCGCCGTCGTCGCCGTCGTCGCCGTCGTCGCCCTTCAGGGATGGCGGCACCGGCTGCGATGCCTTCGCACTGCGACCGGGAGCCGGCCGCTGCACTCCCATCGAGCCCCCTCCTGCGGGGAGCGCGCTTCTCTGGGCGCCCGAACTGGGTGCGGAAAGAATGGGCACAATGCCCAACAGCAAAATGTTGCCCCAAACCAACAGCGGTTGCTGTTGGGCAGGCGGCCTTCTGTCTTGAGTGGACACAGGCCGCGGCGGCGCGGACAGCGAGTCCTGTTCCGAATGAACAAGATCCGCTGTTGGGCACTGCACCCATTCTTCCCGTGCCCCTTTCGTTCGTGCAGAGGCTGCGGCCTGCCGGCGCAGGGCGCGGCCGCCGCGGCCCGCCCCGGCCGCACCGCTCCCTGCGTGAGGCCCGCAGGCTTCGCCGCGGGCCGCGGGCCGCCGCCACGGGGGCCGCCCGCGGACCGCCCGCGGCCACGGAGCCGCCGGCCCCTGGCCATCGCTCGGACGTCCATTCCCCTGTGCTTTTGTCGGTTTCGTGCCTGGTTTTTTCGCCAAATGATCAAGGATGCTCCTCGATGGTCCTCGCCGAAGGAAAAATGCACACGTCCGAGCGATGCCAAGGCCCTCGCCCTGGCGTGGCAGTCTCTCGAGGTGCCAAGGGCCGCTGCCTGCGCCGGGACCAATTTCTCGCCCGTGGGGCTCCGGCTCCGTCCGCGGAGGAGCCGCAGGCGGCAGCAGGGCGCGGCGCGAGCGATCTGCGGTCCGGATGCGGTGTCGCTCGCCAAGCCCACGGACCGCCCCGCGCTCGCTCGTTGCCGCCGCAGCTCGTCGTTGCACATGCTCTGCAGGAGTTGCCGCAGGTGTGCAAGCATGCAGGGATGCATCACTGCGCGAATGCGCCGCGCACCGCAGCCACCGAGGCTCGAGTGTGGAAGTCGCAAGACACGCCCTGGAGCCGTGCGGAGCAAATTCGGGGGCGCGCAAACATGGATCAGCGATCCACGGATCTGGCGCGCGGTCGCCAAACCCATGGATCGGGGGAGGTGCCCCTCC